TCTCTCCTCACGTGTTTAACCTCTTTAGGATGAAATAAGACACATGGGAGAAAGATATATTTGGATTGTAATAGGTGGGACATTAGTGATAGACAAGAGAAGAGCACAGACTATGATTTGAGTGTTAGGCATTTGTTAGTAGACTTTGATGATAAACATGTTAGCACAAACCCTTTTGAAAAGATGTTTGAACTTAAATTATAATTTAAAACATATATAAAGAAGCAATGGAAGGATGGAAGTAGAAATCAACACATACAAACATCAAAAGAGGGAAAACTTGGACATAGTTAGAAATGCATCCGTCTGCCATAGCACGTGTCATCTACCATGACAGATGGCAGGTGAAGCCCCCTCATTATGTAATGCATCACAACACACAAGCCTCATGCCGCAGTGCACCTCTATTGTCATGATAACATTATGGGACCAGGTTCTAGAGTGCGTCATTTCATCATTCAATGGTTGATTTGAGTAATTCAAGTGTTCACACATAGCTTTTAAAGCTATTTATCTATTGGAACTAGTGTAAGGTCCCTATTACTTAACTACATAATGCTTTAAAATCAAGGTAATTAAGGAATTAACCCCAAAGGATTACCTAAGTTTGTAAAATTACACAAAAGATTTCTCAAAACTTTTACAACGGAATCCTAAATTCAACATTTTAAATCTCAAATAATATTTAATAAGCTCAAATCAAAGTTTTAAAAGTAATGCGGAAGCTTGAAAATCAATTGAGACCTAAATTCGTGAGTTTTAAAGCTCAAAACTGATATTTGTGCAGAAAATGACACATGCACCACGGCTCTTGACATGTGTGCCGCAGCTTGTCTTCTCTGTGTCATACATCTCGGTATGAGGCGCCACGTGCTATGGTGCATTGTATGAATTTGACAGTACAGGAGGTGAACTTTTGATGCGTCCCAAAACTCCGTCTGACGTTTGATTGAGGTGGTTTCGATATCTATATGGAGCTTTCTTCTAACTCTAACTAATGGCACTAGTTTCACATTTAAACTTATTTTCTATAAATAGTTGGATACCAATACCTATTTTGATCACTTTTTCACAACATTTCACAAATAAGGTATGTCCTAACTTAACCACATGTGCCAATAGCCTACACTAACCATCCGACTACATCCAATGGACTCATGCGGACCTGTGCAATGCAACACACACATAAAAAATACTTATATCGCAAAATCACCATTCAACCTCGATTTTCATAAAACACAAAGGGGGAGGAAAAGTTGTACAAATTTATCAATTTCATTTTAAATCTTTCAAAATACATATATTTCTACTTGCACAAGTATTTCGGCCCTATCCACAGGTTTACAATCAAAACTAGCTATCTTAAGGCATAAAATCCACAAGTTATGCACAAAATCATGCAAGTAGTGCATAAATCATGTCAAAAGATCTTAGTTGGCAAATACAATAACATATACGCATGGAACCACAAAAAGAAGGCATATAGAGGATTACTTCACAATCCTAAGCCTCAGTGTGTTTTTCCTTGACTCGATCCAATGAGCCAGGTCCTGGAAATATTGAGAATTGAGGAGTGAGTACAATTACTCAATAACCAAGTTTCACCTAACCTATATAGTTACATATCAATTGTAAATAGATGCAATTAAGTAAATACATAAATATCGCATACAAACACTTGGCTATGGTTCACAAAATTGAGCCCATATGATTGAGCCCATAACACATAATATCATGATACTTCATAAAGCACAACACGGAGTCATAATAATAATAACCATGCACCCCTACACATGCCGAACCACAAATAACAACCATGTGGCTAGTCTTATATACACGATTATATGCCAACCTTATACCTCCTGTTACCTCCGACACAAAACCAGTAGCTATCACGTGGCTACGTCCCTTACTGATTAACCTAGCCTACCACTTGTGAGGAGTTATTAGACCAAGGTGAACTTACTCACTTATGTAATCCGATTTGCCCTAATACTAACAACCATGAGGTGTTGTACCCCTAATCTAGCCTCCTCATGAACTGGTGGAAACTAATTAGGTTCGAGTCCCTCGTAAAATAAGTGAAACAGTCTCGAATCAACCATAGAATAAGGGCTACCTCCCAATTTCAATGATTGGTGCCAAGGCAAGTTCTCAATTTCAACGGTCACTGCCAATACCATGTGGATTTAAACCAATCTACTCCTCTCTCTAGGCGAACTCCTGTCAATGATCATGCCATACACATTTTTCATATAATATGCATTTTAAATAATTAATTCATGACAAATTATCTCATATTTAGTCATTCCACACATTCAACATATCACATATCACAATTCTTCGCTTTTATAACAACATGCCACAAGTAAATTATAAATTACAAGTAGGTGGCATAATAAATATTTTTCCTTTCTAAAATTATTTCACAATTAAACACATTGCTGACATACATCATTTATTTAAATCATTAAACACATTTCACAAACACAATTAACATTGAACTATAAAAATTAGACTTCTCTCAGTTATCTCAAACCTTTAAGAGGTCAAAAGATTAGTCCTCATAATATCAACTTCTAAAGCTTCTCCCAAGCTTAAATGGTGCCAAATGATTCATACTACAATCATAAGCAATCAATGCCATCATTATCTCATTTTTTTTATGTTCTACCAACCTAAATCTTCACATACTCTACTTAATCAACCCACAAATCATTACCCATTCATACCTAATGGGTTCATTAGGTTCCATTAATACACATTATCATTGATAACACTTTAAACTACCATTAATGCACATAAACCTCTCCCAACTATCAATTTATGTCCATTTTCGGATATTAAATGCTCCCATAGACTCACCACTTCTAAAATTATCAATATGGTATTTCAATACCTTAAACAACTACCATTATACTCATTTTAATCAATAGAATCGGACCCGTAGTCCTATGGACCGAAAATTCATCTTCTAACTCAAACCCTATCATAAATCATCATAAATGAGGGAGAGAAAGGAAGAATAAGGTTTAGATTACTTACCTCAAGTGTTTAGGAGCTTCAATCTATCACCAATATACTCCAACAACAAGCCCTAGTAAAGCCAAAGTCATGCTATTCGGTTTCTCCTTCCTCTTTCCTATTTTTCTCGTGCTGATATGAATTTGATATATCAAATTTTTGGTTGTGCGCCATTGCACACGCTACCCTCTGTCATAGCATATGGCACAGAGGAGTCCGTTGCATTCAAATCTGCCTTTGTGCGTCGCGACAAACTAACCATGCACCGCGGCATGTGGCATAGAAAAAAAATCTTCACTTTTTCTTCCTCTTTTCTTGCCTGGGTGGCCCGCTATCGATTTGGACCCACTTCTAGGGCTAAAATCACCACAATTACACTAATTAAACCCCTCTGACTGCACACTTTATTAACTTACTAATCACTCTCATTAGGTTAATAAACCAAGATTAAATTATCTCGGATGTTACAACCAGTTTCACAATAAAAATCTTTACCATTTAAAAATTGGATATCTGAGAACAAAATGATCTTTTTTTCTTTCAAAACTAGCCCAAGAGTGTCTAAACTCTCAACCTAAGTGCCAATAGACTAGAGATCACTTCAAATAATTCAAACAGACCACAATACACCTAATTGAACAGGCAAATACAAATACATATATCTCAAGCTCATTTGAGCATAAAAACCCCGATTTCACCTAAATTAAAGGGTATTGGCATAAATCAGCATAACCATGCAACAACTATCCATACACATTCATTCACCATAATAATGGCACTTGCATTAGTAATTTAGCCTCTTACAATAATTGTCAACACAAATATAATATCATAGGCTGAAATATATCAAAACAACACCCTCTCATCATGCAAGTGTATCAAAACAATGTATGTCCTAAAGTTGGCATAATATATACATATAAAGTTACACAATTTACCAAAAGAATATAGATCTAGGCTATTACAAGCTCTTCAATTCCTGATAGAATCCTCCTTTCCTTTGCTCCTATCATAACCTTCACCTATAAAAGTATAACTACGGGGGGTGAGGCTATGTCTCAATAACCAAGTAATATAATACTTCTCTCAGGTGTATCCATTGCATGTGGCCAAAAAAAAAAAAAGAGGTGCATCCCTTGTGGCCAAATTTCTGTACAGGTCAAGTTTCTTTTGTGCTCCTTGATCTTTCCTTCACTCATAGATATGTGTGACTTGTTTTGATATGTTATTGTTGTTGTTGTTGTTGTTGTTTGGTTAAAATTTTATAGAGTTCTGAACTCTAACTCTTGCCTAATATTACTCAATCTATGCTTAGTGAATATTTTAAAGCAATTGTTTATAGCTTAATGCTTCCCGTGTGGGGCAGAAAATTCTATACAAGAGAGGTTAAAGCTATACAATTATTATACAGCAATATAGCTATGTAATGAAAGCTAAAAGCATTTTAAACCATCACTTCAAGGTGGCCAGATGATATCATGTATGTTATCTTGGATTTTAGCTTTTACAGCCACTGCCTTGTGTCAGTTTAGAAAACCTGTACTGCAATGCGTATTAGGTGTCAGATTGTATGTTGTGCCTTTTACTATAAGATGTCTCATTAGTTTTAGTTAGCAGCAGTAAATCATATTGCACATGCCCATTCTTTTAAATTGCCTTTTAATACATCTAATTAAGTCATAGATGGAGGAGGTTAACATTTATATTGCATTAGAAAAAAGTTAGTGGAACATGGTTACATTGTTATGCTTCCTTCTTTTCTAAGAACAAAGGCTTCGTGTTTTGGCAACTTTTGTATCATGTGAGTTGTGCAGAATCCTCACCATATAGTGTTGTTTTTCATGTCATTAGCAAACAAGGTAACATACCCTTCCCCTCCCTTGAACCTAATACACCCTCAAACTCAGACGAAGATAGTACTATATATTTTGTATCAGAAAAAAGGGAAGCTTAGATAGATGGGGGAGGAGTTCTGAATGAAGAGAGAACTGGAAGCTGCAATCCTTGACAAAGCTGGCGAAGTGATATCAACTATGAAGAGCTCTAAGCATGTTGATCAAGTCATTTGTGTGCTTCACTCCATAGCTATCTTTCTCTTCCATATCGGCACTTCTCTTATTTCAGGTTAGTCCTGGGCATAATTTCTCATTATTTCAGTGTTCCCCTGTTCTCTTGCAGGGTTCAGCAGTTGATTGTTGCTCAGCATTTAGCCGCAATATTCTGGATTTTAGTCCTATAATGGTTGCGTTTTCATTGAAGAGAATGAAACTCGAATGAAATGTTATTGGAAAGTGAAGGATCAAACAAAATCATTTTGGCTATTTTTCATTGCTCCCAAAATGAATATGAAGGTTTTATCCAAATACATTCTTTAATATTTTTTGCTCTTGTTATTGTATTGCTGATACATTAATTTGGGGAAATACTAATATTTGGGTATCTGGAACTTGGTAGGTAGTATTGATGAGTTATTGGGATCAGGTTTTTGTCATTAACAACAACAACAAGTCTTATCCCACTAGGTTTTTTGTCATTAATCTCTTCAAAATTTTGAAATGCTGTACTGATGGCTTTAATCACATTTTCTTCAATTAAATAATTTTTTTTATTTTTTGTTGTGGCATAATTAGGTTGTAGCAATCGAAGTTCATTTGGCAGAAGAGCAGGCTGACTGGTGGCAGGCATTTTACCAAGGGATTGCTTTTCCAACATTTGCTCGGTGCTTCTTACTTGGTAATGCTTTTTAAAATCATTTATTCTATCACGCACTTGCACATTAGGAACCATTCCTATGATGCATGTTTTAATTGTTGGGGTTTCTTTTGCAAGTTTTGAATTTCTGATTTCCACATAAGGGCATGTCTTTGGATTGGCGTGGCCAAGAATTTAATTGATGATTCTATCTTTGTAGGATCCATTCCTATGTTATGTGTGCCCTGTTGTTCTTCTTCTTCTTTTCCAGCAAAAGAATATCAGCATTTTGCTTGTCCTGTTTTTCTCATATAAGATGCAATTACCTGCAGATGTTGCCCCCAGCTGGCTGGCTTGTTTTCCCTTCTCTGCAAAGAAGCATGTTTACGATGTCTCCTTTGTTCACGCAACTTTATTTTGTGTTGTTATATTGCCGTTAATGTTGTGAATTGCAGTTGCGTCTGGACTGGTTGTTAAGAGTCAGCAAAGTTGTTTCCTGATTGATTCTCTTTTCTTGTAGATATGTTATCAAGTGAAGTAACATCCCAAGTTCTATGTCATGCACAGCGTTGCTTACCAAGTAATGATTCACTTACTGAGGAATTGCTCGAGTCAAACCCAAATTCTGTCTTCTGGTTGAGAATGATGGAGGCAATTAGAGATCCCTATGCAGTGGAAAGAATCTCTGAGCAAATTTTGCATCAGCTAACTTCTCGTCATGCAGATGATACCCCAACCTATTGGGCTCCGTGGTTGTTCCATCGCACTGTTAAGCATCAGGCTTCTGTCAGGTTAGCGGATATGTGTTACTCTTTTCCGTTTATCCTGCTTGGCTTATTTTCTGGTTGGAGAATATTTCTCTTTTGGCCTTTTTTTTTTTTTAATTAATACTGACTTGCTTGAATGTGTGGCCTTGCCTGTCTGCCTGAGAGTCTGAATCTGATGCCAGGTTAAGAGAGAGAAAACTGAAGGAAGAATGATTTTTTTTTTTCTTCTTTGGTTTTTGTTTTTGAAAGAAGATAAATAAATCTTGGATCAAGAGAAAAGTAAATAGGAAAGATGAGAATCATCCTGTTGTGACTACTGCATGATTATATGCTTCTTTAAGGACCTCTTGCCCTTCGTTGTCATGTCACGTTTTTCATATTATTTAAATTAGAGCTGATAATTTAAGTGAGACAAGCTTATTTAAGTATGACTCAACCTAAATAAGCCCCAACTCAATAAGTCCAACCTTCTTAAATTGCTCGAATAGTCAAGTTTGGCTTGAATTTCTTTAGGTTTCGGACCTATCCAAATGTCCAAATTATTAATTGTTTTAATTTTTAAAATTAATTTTTATTTGTTTTTTAATTTAAATTAAAATTTTTTTTATAAAAAATATAAAATATATTTTTGGAATACTTAAAACAATAAAGAAGACTCAACACTTTTTTTAATAAATATGTTGATCTTAAAATTTTAAAATCAATATTAAAATAAATTTTAAATATTATTTTGAGATATTTTATAACTTAAAAATAATAAAAATATGGCAATATAAATATTTTATTTTTTAAAAAAATTTCTATAACAATATATTCAAATATATGATATCTTAGTATAAAATGACTTAAAAGTTAAATAATTCATTAATATTTAATATATTTTTTAAAATAAATTTTTGGGTGTTCGAGCGAAATTCAAACCCAACTTGGCTTGGCTCTAATTTGTTCGAGCCCGATATTGATTTGATATTAACTTCATTTTTTTCAATGAGGGGCAATATTGTCATTTTTTAAGGAATTTAATATTAAGTAAGTACCTTTGACTCATAGTGACATATCAAAATTCAAAAATTAGTAAGCTTTCTTTTTTAATAAGTTTGTTCCAGAGGTCTTCAGTGAAATTTTCCTTTCAAATAACTTTCTTCTCTTATAGCTAGTTTCTTTGACGCTTTTATTGATGGCAACCCAAGAATGCCAATAGATTGTGTAATGCAACATCCATTATTGTCACTGTAAATGAGAGGTTATGAACCAATGCACAATACTACATGTCAATTAATTAGTAGACCAAATGTTGCAATATCAGAAACAGCAGAGGAGCTATAATAAAGTTCAATGATCATTGGTTATTTAATAAGGGCATGGGCTTAATCAAGATCGCAGTAATTATGTAATTTGACTGAGAACTTCTTCAACAATGATAACCAAAGGAAATCTGAGATGCCTCTGTGGATTACTACAGCCAGCAACTGTTCCACTGGTAAGTGATGATGCTAGTGCAGTGGGCCATTTTCCGAATCTCTATATTACGACCATGAATTTACTTATACTCAAGTACTTTTTATACATTAACATGGTTTTGAGTTTATTTGACCGGTAAGATGGTTTGCTTTAGAGAACATGCAGATGAACATTATATCTCTCTTTATCTGCTTGTTCGTATTGCCTCTTTTTTTATGCTTATGATGTTGTATATTTACATATAGGGGTGAGCTTGATCTTCTAGTAAGTAGGGGTTGTATATACCTTCAGTTTGGAATTTAGGTGACCCAAGAGAACTATAATGTATGGTACAGAGTTTGGGTATAATATTGTGGCCGGGAAATTTGAAGAATCTTTGGGAAAACTGAATTTACATAATCATGAGCTGTGCATGGATAGACTGATGAACATTTTGTGAAGATAATTTGCTGAGAGAAGATATAATAGAGAAACACTTTCCAAGTACTGCTGTGAATTTTGCGATTGGAATTGCAATTCCAGTGACCATTTTACGTATTGAGATCCTTTTCTTCAAAAATTAGAATCTTGAGATGCATCTAGAGGTGAAAACATCAACCTCTTGAGAAATAGAGCTCCACACAGATCCTCTTATATTAACAAATTCTCTTCTTCCCCAAGTCTATTTGCAATTATCTCCCACATGTCATCATAAATCTCTTTGATATGGCATGATCCACCCCCAGCAAAGAACTCATGCACAACTCCATTAAGGGTGACGGTACTACATCCTGGATGATTTTGAAGACCTCTTTCTTTGATCTCTCTTCTTATTTGAACTGCTTGGTCCCATTCTCCAGCTGCAGAATGAATGTTTGCCAAATGAATATATCTCCCCTCATGATCTGGGTCCACTTCAATCAGAATTTTCCCAATCTCTTTGCCAAGCTCAAGATTTCTGTGCATATTGCAAGCAATGATCAATGCTCCCCATACTGCAGCATTTGGTTTTATGGGCATTGAATCTATAAACTCCTTTGCTTCCTTCAACCACCCTGCTCGACCCAGAAGGTCCACCATGCATCCATAATGCTCTATACTAGGCTTCATTTTATAAAGAGAACTTATGCTCTCAAACAGTGACATTCCTTCTTCAACTAAACCTGCATGACTACAAGCAGTCAGAATTGCAGTGAAAGTCATTGAAGTTGGCTTGATTCCTGTTTTCTGCATCTGAATAAACCAATCAAGAGCTTCTCTTCCCTTTCCGTGGACCGCAAAGCCGCCGATTAAAGCTGTCCATGCACAGACACATTTCTTCTCCAATCTTCTAAACACTTCTTTGGCTTTTTCCAGTTCACCACACTTGACATACATGTCCACAAGCACACAACCCAAAATTGGATCTTCTTTTATTCCATTTTTAAGAATGTAGGCGTGAATCCACATACCTTGGTACAATGCTCCCAGACCTGCACATGCTGAAAGAGAACAACTCATAGTCACACTATCAGGTTTGATTTCTGAAATCATCATTTCATGAAAAAGTGACAGGGCTTTCTTGTTCAGACCCACCTTGACAAACCCACCAATCATGGTGGTCCAAGAGATTACATTTTTCGCTGGCATGGCTTGAAAAATCTCGTTGGCCATGCCTATGTTTCCGAATTTGATGTAACCATCAATCATTGTATTCCAAGAAACCATATCTGGTTGGGGAAGCCGATCAAACAGGCGGCGTGCATATTCAATGCTGCCGAAATTCACATAAACATGAATGAGGGAGTTTGTGGCATAAACCTCTGAACCAAAACCTGTTTTGATTATGTGAGCATGAACTTGTTTGGTTTCTTCAAGAGCTGAGAGAGCAGAACATGCTTTGAGAAGGAAAGGGAAAGTGTGAGCATTGCAAGTGACTGAATGGTGAAGCATTTGTTGGTAGAGAAGCAGGGCTGCTTCTGGGAAATTACTGTTTGAGTATGCTCTGATCATGGTGTTCCACATGACAATGTTAGGGGAGCTTATTCCGTGGAAAACCATACGAGCATAAGCTAAGTTCCCATATTCCAAAGATGTGCATGAAGCTAAGAGCTTGCTCACTGCAATCTGGTGCATATAGCTGCCATTTTTCAGAACTTGGGCATGAATCTGCTTTAGTTCTTTCATGTTTGAGCATCTCTCGAGCAGATTCAGGGTCTCCTCCACATGGCTTTGCAGTAGGGGTTGGCTTGACAGTGTTAGAAGCATGCTTATCATTAAGCATAAAGAAATCAGAATCAAAGTATAATGAATTGAAGAAAATAGAAACGCGTTGAGAAAGGTTCAGAAGGCAACGAGACGTTTTGTATTTATGGCTCTTGTTACTTGCACGTGTCCGGATAAGACACTCGTACATAGTACAAACAATGGCGTTTATCTTTGTATCCTCGTTCATCGGCGGAAAAAAAGAATCCTCGTTACAAGAAAACAGACCCCCCAAAAAAAAAAATGCAGCGACAATTTTAAATTAAAAATACTTATTCTAAAAAAATCTAACATATGAAACTATTTCCTTAGAAACTATAAACGTATTATCCACAGATAAAACAGTTTTAAATATTAGGCTCTCTCTCCCTCTCTAAAAGTGATGAATGATCAGTCTAATATTATATTACTCACGTGCATACATGTAGATGTAAGGTTTGGAATCAGAATCTCATGCTCGCAGAGAGGTAATGTTGTCACAGAAATAATTAACCATTACTAGATTGCTTGGCCTTTTTAGTTCCAAGCTCTCAGCAAATTGTTGAACTAACCTTTAGAAAATATATTTTTATAAGAATATATTAGTCAATTAATTACTGTTAGCCAAAAAAATGATTATTTTTGTCCTTGAAAATAATTATAATTTTTAAGGTTTTTTCACGATAAATGTTGACCTATCTAGGTTCACTACTAACTTTTTTTTTTTGTTTTAATTTGATTCTCCGCCGCAGATTTACAACTTGGATTTACATGAAATCAAGCACATCAACCTCAACTATACGACACGAATAAAATAGTTTATAAAATTACTTATTTCACTTGCTAGAATAGTTAATAATCTTTGTCATAAAATATTTTTGAAAGAATTACATACAGATTTCACTCAAAAGAATTAATTATTTCCAAATCTATTGACAATTGAGCTTAAAAGAATGATATTTTCTTGAGTGACAACTTAGAATAATTCTTTTCTATTATACTGTTTCCAACAGTCGCATAGTGATCTTGGGAACCATGGAAATTAATCTGAAGTTACATTGCTGCTTCTACAACATACCTCTCATATGTAATCCTTTCTTATTTTTTAACAACTCTAACAAAGTCTTCTCACTTCTTTTGTAACAACTCTAACATCAATGAACTTCAGTTCTAGTATGTATCAAAACAATAGGATGCATCTTCCCAAAGTAGTGGGTTTTTTGTTCTATTTCTTGCTTTCTTTGTATTGTTATGCCTCTTCATTTGTGTGCGTATTTTCGTAACATATATTATTTATATTTGTGTCTCTCATTTAGCCAAAGTCCTTTATCTTATTAGGGCCTTAGGTCTAAATTTGTGATATTACAAAGACATGAGACTCAGACCTTTAACTGGGAAAGGCCTCTTTCTGCTCTTTTCCTATTAACCGCTAATCCACCTGGTAACGTCTCTTCACCGCAACAAAAATAGCTTCCAGTCAATGAGAATGAATATGATGAAATTAAATATTGGAAATAATAAATGGACCCGATACTAGTGAAACAAGCAGTAGTGATGTTACTATGTGTGATCAAATGCCCACTTGATCAAGCAACCAAGATAATCAGATCACCGAATCACAAAAGTACCAGATTGTCACATTAAAAACCTGACAATCACAGCCTCTAAATGTTAATCTACGATGGAAGGGCCATAGGGATCTGTGATTGGTACAGTTTGCACTTCCGGCGCTGGCTTGATCAACTTTATATTTTATCCGATCAATTTTTAATCAGAATTTGAACCACAAAACTTTCTTCAGATCAGAAGAAGCCATTGTATATATGTAACCGGTAGAACACTTTAAAGATGTGGAATTCTTTCACATATAGGTTATGAGTGCTTAACATTCTACCTCTCCCTTGTACTCTATAATATGAAAAGCTTGAAGGTTTGTGACCAGAAAATATTCAAGTGAGATCTGTACGCACGCATAACAAGGACAGTGAACATATGCGAAAAAACTTACAAGTAAAAAGAGCCAGGGGAGTCTTTCCATAAAAATGCATATAGCAAAAGGCGAAATGCAACGGTTGATGGCTCGAAACATGTTCCTTTATGAAGTTTTCAACTTTTTTCATTCTTTCTTCAATGGGCTGTATCAGTTCAGAGAACAGTAAAGAGCAAAGCAAGGGTCAAATAAAAGCCTTTAAATCCCAACGAGCAAAGATCTCGCGGAAACTGAAAGACGTACTTCAACAATTTCTCAAACAAATCCAACAGGACAAATTTATGATCTGCAAGGATGATTGAGTTTGCCCGATAAAAGTTACCTTTGATATAAAATTCTTATGTCACAGAACAAATCTAAGAAGCCAGATGAAAACTCATCAAGTAAAATTCCTTGGATACATAAAAAATTGATTGAACCAATGGCACTCGCTCGTTATGATTATTTAATGATCTTAGTGATTGGATTTATATGCTTATTGTGATAGGAAATAAAATACTCTAAAGAAAATTTTCATATAATGGCTATTCATTTAGTTTATTTTCATGTAAATAGAGGCAAGAAAGCTCTATGAAAAAATGGTGGCTCAATTCCATGTTGTTTAATAGAGAGTTAGAGTATTGGTGTGGGCTAAGTAAATCATTAGATAGTTTTGGTCATAATGAAAATATCAATCTACATGAAGACCCAATTTTAATTGATATGGATCAAGACATTCAGAGTAGGAGTGATAGTGTCAATTCTAGCCACTGTAATGTTACTTATTTAGTTGGCATTGGGAACATTTGGAATTTAATATCTGACGATACTTTTTCAGTTAGGGACAATAATAAGGACAAGTATTCCATATATTTTGATATTGAAAATTAATTTTTTGAGATTGATAATGATTATTCTTTTCTAAGTAAACTAGAAAGTTTATACATGCATAGAGTTATAAGAATTTTAGTTAAGTATCTAAGATTGACGATCCCGACTATCATTGTTACATGTATGATACTAAATATAGTTGAAATAATTGCATTAATAATTACATTGACTATTATCTTCGTTCTCAAATCTGTATTAATGATAGTTATATTTTAGGTGATAGTGACAAATATAATGATAATTATATTTATAGTTACATTTGTGATAAAAGCTGAAATATTAGTCAAAGAGGGAATTCTAATATAATAACCTGCACGAATGCTACGAGTGATTGTGATTTTAATGATCTGGAGGAAACTAAATAATATATGCATTTGTGGATTTAATGCAAAAATTGTTATGGATTAAGTTATAAGAAAGTTTTGAAATAAAAAATGAATATTTGTAAACACTATGGAATCATTTGCAAATGAACAATTTAGATAGTATCAAACTTTTGATTGATCGAGGCATTTGGAATCAATGGATGAAGACACGGTTTTGAGGGATACCATGGAATTTCATTCAGAAGATGAAGCTTATAAAGATCTTTAATTTTTTTTTTATCAAAGAAATTAAAGACATGATTAGCTGATACTATTCAAACAAGCACAGGTCAATTAAATGGTATTTCTGCGGCAATTGGAGATATGGAATATTGATATTATAAACAAAGTCTATCAACCAATGAGAGGGAGGAGATTTTTGGCCAATCAGAATCATTCTACAAGTTTTGTATGTATAATTAATTAATTAATTTATTTATTTATTGGAAATTGATTGTTTGATTATGGGATCTAAAATCAAGGTTTGAAGGAAAAAAAGTACCAAAAATACTCACAATATTTTTCAAACTATATTTAGAAGAAGTGAAAATAGATCCATTTAACAATTAATATTGTAACTGTATGGGGAGTTGTCAGAATGTCCATTTTACAATTTCATCCTTCATTTTATTTATCAATATTTACATTATAAAAAATAGTGTCCTTCATTATAATTTGAACATTTAAAATTGATTTGAAAAAATTATTGAAACGTATTTAATTTTATCAAGATCAATTTTAGAAAGAATTAGTAAAATATCATCATGTTTTCTTAATTAGTTTTTCCCATAATCAATTTTACCCAATTAAAATCTAAACATAGGCATGGAATGTGGTATGGGTTCCAAAATCATGATTTTCAGCTTCTCAACGCAAGACCAAACAACCTCATGTGGCTAGAAAGTTTGTGTAGTTGAGGGATGAATTGTATGCTATAAATTTTATGTTTAACGTTACTCATACTAACTAGTATGTATTCCGTGATGCACGAGTGTGAAATGAGAGTAATGATTTAAAAAAATAATAAGATAAAAGTTAAATTACAAAATTGTATTATTATTAAAGAAAATCACTCCTAAATAAAGTAATTGGCATATTTTCAATTGTAATAATGGGTTAAATATAATAATGATCTAAAAATCCCTATTTAACTTTTCCATGGAATAAATTTAAAAACTAAATCAATTTTTATAAAATAGATTTAAATTATAAATAATATATCTCCATTGCACAATTAAAAAATAATTAAGAATTGATATTAATTTCATAAACTGGATTTTTGTAACATAAAGTAAAATAATTTTAAAATATTAACTAATATGGATGGCAAAATATTTACATAAAGTAAATTGAAATATTAACTAATAAGATTATTAAAAACTAAGGTTATTGAATGTTCTTTGAAATCATAGTTTATTACTTTTATTGCAAAGCTAATATTGTGTGAAGGGTATACCTTTGTGATCTCATGCACTTCATCCAAATATCTCATGCAACTCATGCACTTTTGATTAAATATGACATTAACAAATGAAAATATTCATATATCAAGTACTGTAAATTTGATTTCCAATCTAAATATCGATATTGTCAAATCTCGCCTCCTCCAATTAAGTATTTATCAAGTAAATATCCTTAGGCAAATTTAGCATGGTTTTGAAAACAACTTTACAAAAAGATACCCCAAATGTACAAGTGTAAGAGGAAACATTCAATGGTTTTGAGGAAGCCTTGATTTTGATATGAGCAAGCTAAAGAGATTAAAAAATCTTCATTATCTTACAATCTAGGAAAGTTTAATATAATCAGAATATAAAAATCATTAAGACATTAAAGCAAAATATGTTTTGAGACATTAACATATCATTATATGATAAATTGAAAATATGTCTCTTT